GCTTCTTGGAACTGGAAGCAGCAGTAACAAACTGCATCTATGAGCAGGTTTGAACTATTTTGGACGCATTTATTTGTAGTTTGCCCATTTTCATTCAAACTCTGCATATTTTCATGTAAGCCAGGCTATTTTTTAAGTATAGCTAAAGCATCCAAAACCTTCCAGTGTTTCCCTAGATCAAAGAGGATAGAATGTGAGAGCTGTTTGGGGTTGCAGAACACTGTCCCTTTATATCTTTTATATGCAGCTTACAGAGAGCAAACTGAATTATAATGGTATAAAATTACTCATGTTGGAGCCTTTTTTAAAGAGTTTATAAGATTCAGAGCTAGAATACCATACAGAATGAAAGATCACTTCTTTTACACCCATGGGCCCATTTTGGCCACGCTTTAAAACACACACTCTTAGCTCCATATGGAATCATAGAATCCTTAAGGTTGGAAGGGCCCTCTAGAGATTATCTAGTCCAAGCCCCCTGCACACAGAAGGTCACCTAGAGCAAGGTAGTGCAGGTTTGTGTCCAAGTGGATTTTGAAGATTTCCAGAAGAGACTCCACAACCTCTTTTGGCAACCTGTTCCAGTGCTCTGCCACCCTCACTGCCAAGAAATTCTTCCTTAAGTTCCTGAGGAACTTTTGGTGCTTCAGTTTGTGGCCCTTTCCTCTAGTTCTATCTGGGGCCACCACTGCAAAGAGGCTGGCCCCATCCTCACTGCCTCCCTTAAGGTATTTATATACACTGATCAGATCCCCTCTCACCGTTCTCTTCTTCAGGCTGAAGAGGCCCAGCTCTCTCAGCCTTTCCTCCCAGGGCAGATGTTCCAGGCCCCTGACCAGATGTATTACAAATGTATTAATCACATGCATTACAAACAGCAATTTTAGTGACACTGAGAATTCATTTTGAAGTTTAGATTGTACACTGCTAGAGAAAGATCCAAACAGAGCAGTATAGACCCATAGTAATTCAGATATTCCTCAAGGGCACTAAAAATTGCTGAAGGTGAAAGCTGTTCTTCAGACACCAGCTTATTTGCTAAACATCTACTTCTCCTCAGAAGGTATTGGCAGGTACATACCTTGGCCAGCTAGAAGTGTAACTGCTGCATAGGGAAAAGCCTGTAGAAAATCCCAGCTCAGACAAAGACCAAGACTAAATGCCTGGGCATAAATCTAGTGGCTGGGCTTAAATGCAGTTGCTGGACCAGCAGGTAGGGGGAAAAAAAAAGCTCCCCCAAAAAGCCCAAATAAGACTTTTCTTCTGTAAGTGGAAGTCATACGTTTAACAATGTTATTTGGACTGTTCCAAGGACACACAGTTCTGAAATGCCTTGGAACAAGAAACTCAACTTGGAATAAGAAAACAAAACTTTCTGTCCTTTTTTTTTTTTTTTTCCCCCATCCTGCTACACCTTTTTCACTACCTAAATTTCTTCAGGTAGCTTTTTCTCTCTCACTTCATTTTTCCAACATCAGTACACTGTTACCAGCCAGTTTTCAACTCAGCTCTGCATACCCTTTACTTGGACATTACTATTTTAAAATAATGATGTCAAAGAGAGGATGGACTTATTTAGTAATTAATCGGGAGTGTATTTTAGCTTTCAGTACAGTAAATATTTATTGGACAGTAAATAAAATTCCTTAGTAAGGAGACCTTTGCAAGGAGGAGGATGGAGAAAGATAGAGGAGCCAATCTGAGCTGTGACAAGCACATCAATAAAGCTGTTTAAATGTTTGCATGTTGTGGGAAAACAGCTCCTTCGCCTCATGGATTTCCTCACTGACAAAATGTTTCTGTGCCTCTTTTGAGGGACCTTTTGTCTCATTCTTCTGTATCAAAAGTCCCTGATTTCACACCGGTCACTGGAAGATACAAATACTTCTCCGTACAACAGTGTGCTCAAATTTATACAGCATTATACCGTATGTCTTCAAAAATAGTCCAGGTTTCACTGATTGCTCCATGACAGTTGCTTGCAGAGCAGACTCAGGATATAACCCTGTTGCTGAAGAAGAAGCAAGCTCAGGTTGGGTAAAGTTCGTATGCACTGAAAAAAGGAGGACTTTGCTTTATTTTTTTCAAGTTTTATTATTAAAGACAAATAATACAGCAAGTAATCACTGTGGGTATCAACTCCCAAGTTGGAGAAGATTCCTTTTGAGTTGAGCTGAAGTAGAAAACATTTCTTAAAATGGATTTACAGCCCATTTAATGGTTGGAAAAGCCACGGGGATTTTAAAAGGGCAGAAAAGTCCCTGAAGATACAGAAATATATCCGGGAAGTTTGGTCTGAGGCTGAATGCATGTGAGGAGTTTTGGCTTTGGAAGCCAGGCTGTGCAGGCTGCTGTCTGCATTGTGGCACCAGGTAATATCTCTGCAAAGATCAACGCTGCTGCTCCCACCACTAATTTATCACCCCGTTTTGCACTGCTGGAAGAAGAGCGATTACTGCAGGCGCCAGTGGGATCATCGGGCCTTCGGAATCCTCACAAGAGGCTCGAGGCATTTTCTGTCCCTCGAGAATAACTGAGCCTTTAGTTTTCAGTACCCTTTCATATGCTCTCTGCAACTGCTCTGCCTTGAGGATGCATTAGTGGGAAACTCATGGGAACTTTATGTGTGTTTTGTTACAGGAAGCTACAGAGCTAAACTGAGTCTTCATTTGTACAGGGAATGGTAAAACGTTCTGGAATGCCAATCAAGCTAATCTGCTTTTCTCCTAGGAGTGTGATGTGATAAGGCAGTAAATGCCAAACCTGCTACTTACAGCAAATATGCGTGAGCTCCTGTGATACTGTAAACCTTTTTCCTGTCCCCAGAATAATCTGGATTTACATTTTGATGTTTGTGAATCAGAGCTGCCAGTGTCAAATTTCTGTTTTAATTTTTTTAACCAGAAATAATAGAGATTATATTGGTCAAAGCACTGGTAGGAAAGCAGGAAGGATTGGACATAGATCCATGCAAAATGGAAATGATGCTATGTTTTAGAGACATAGAATGAACATAGGATGAACTGACCTTTATGCACACTGTCACAGGCAAATTTTTCCAGTAGATTAAGAGCTATTTTGAAGGCAGTTCATTCTGGTTTGATTCCCAAATGTTCCCAAACCCACCTCCAGCATGCTTTGATGTTTTTATTCTTTTAATAATTCCTTTACTTTGCTCAAGGGGCAACACTCAACACTCACTTCCACACTGTTACACAGCCAAATTTTTTAATGCTAAGCAATTCTCAAGGATTGTTGCTCAAGAAGATGCATACTGTCCTTTCATTCTTACACAACATTTCTCCCATTTGGGAGAAAAACACACACATATATATATACATATATATATAGCCAAAACAGAAAGCTGAAGAAGGTTTCCAAAATTAGAGCTTCATTTAATATATGGAGATATGAACCAGAGTACTGAAGTTAATGGAAAGACTTGTACTGATTTCAGTGGCCCTTCAAACAGGACCTAAGACCCCACTTAGATCCTAGTCATTCCATATGCATATATACATGATTACATACATTATGATACATTAGATATTATAACAGAATTGTATACATTTGTGATTACCCAATCCTTATGGTGAACAGTAAGTGCTTATAAACTAACATCACAGGGATGTATTCATACAGCAAGCAGTGAGAGAAGGGAAAAAATGGTCATGTCTGCCAGCCATGTTTCTTTCTGATGTAGAAAGATGAGTTTCAGAAGATCAGAGTGGTCTTATTGACACAATTGAGTCTTTGACCCCTGCAGACAGACTAATATAAGAGCTCCTGGAACTTATTTTTGCAGTTTTCAGGGCCCTGGGGCACTAATGGGCCTTAATAATCCTAACCCACCTCACCTGGTGTCTCTGCCACATACCCCTCTGCCTATAGGCTCAGGAGCCTTATTTAAGCTCAGCTCTGGAGCAGGGCTGTTTTTCCTATTAGTACTTGGTTAGAGTCCTAGTTGCTTGTTGGTTGTCTTTTTGACTTTACTTTGGTCCTGCTGTATTACCCTAGACCAACTAGGCAGTTCCTGGACTCCTCCTGATCTCTGTTGATCTCTTGGCTTGACCTCAGACTTGCTTAATTACTATGGATTTTTCTGGATATTGGCACTCAGGGGTGACTCTGCCCAAAGCCCTTGGGGCTGCCTTGCTAAGGGATGGGGCTGTGGCTGTCCCCAGTCCTTCCACCAGTGGGCTGTGCTCTGCTCCCTGTCATTAAGGAGTTTCTGAACCTTGCTGTGCCCTAGCTGTAAGTTGTCTGACCCTAGGTGAGAGGGAGGATGTGTGTGGTGACTTCTGCTGGGCTTGAGCACCAACATGATGTCTGAAATGCTTCTATATTAATTTTGTAATTTGAGTTACTTCTTGATGCTTCTGTAAGCTGATAGGCCTCTTCTAACTTACATTGTGAATGGTATATTGAGATGACATGCAAACCAGCTAACTGAACAACTGCTAGAAGAATTCAAGGACTCCATTCTCCTATGGTGTTTCTATGGCTTAAAATATATCAGTAGCTTGCTATATATGACTTTCTGGGAATAGTCTGTGGTAATCCATGGCTTCCTGGAATCTCCCAGACCAAGTTTCAAGGCTGTTTTCAACATGTAGCTTTCTTTTGATTTTCCTGAAAGACTCTTTGTGAAATATTGTTAGCTAGTCTTTTAACTAGATCTTTAACTTCAAGCAATGAAATACTAAGCATGAAATTAAAAAAAAAAAAAGGCCAAAAATCTGTGTGTTGGGAAAATGCATGTTAAGGAGCTACTTGAACTTTCTAGCTAAATGTGTTCACTGGTCTCTACTTTTATACGGTTGCTTAATTAGTAAACTGCCATTTGGTTCTTAAACCTGTCCATGGCCCTTGTCTAAGGGACCTGGTAGTACTGGTAGGGATTTGACCTTTAAATTAAGCTGAGCCTTATAGAGCTGTCAGAGAGGGAGCTGCTGGGAAGAGAAGGAATCTTGCCTTAAGTAGCAGTAACTGTTACAACAACACCTTGTTATCTCTTGCACTGGTGTTGTATATGTACATTGGGTGACACTATCACTTCCTTTTTACAATTCCATTGCTTTTTAAGGCAGTATGAAGCAACTCTTTTGAAAACAATTGCATTTCCCTGGTGTTGCTGTTTTGGTAACAGAGCTGTTTTCTCATAGAAAATGAAATATGAAGTGTTAAAAACCTGGAACTTTTGCCCTTGTTTTTGACTAGGAATGTGTAATTGCAAGCCATTAAGTTCACTTTTTGAGTGTCTTTATTAAATTACTCTTTTTCAGTGGTTTTGTGTGTACAGATTCTACTGAAAACCGTAATAACTGTGAGGGTTTAATCTTTCAAGCTAGAGCTTCATTACTTTAATTGCTTTTTTAATTGGTCAGTCTTTAATTGGTTTTGTGCATTTAATAATGATACAAAGCAAAACACTTCAGGTAGCTGAGAAAGAAAAGATGTAGTCAATACAAAAAAGGTACTGTAATGTAAAATGTACCATTGCCTTAGTGTCTCTTATAAAGTGATATCTTCCAAGTAGTTTTGGTACGTATTTTTAGAAATCAGGGCAGTAGGCCTAACTGCTGTGCATAAACTAATAATAAAGAATGGACACTTTTGAGAAAGAACTGGAATGTTACATAGTTTCCATAGTCTAAGACTTCTAGAAGAGGAAATCAGGTGTGCTAGAACAGGAAAATATCCACTCTTCTTCTGCAGTGCAGTTTTTAAATTGTGAATTTCACATTGTCAATTCTGAAAGAATAGTTAGTGTTTCCCTCTTCCTTATCTCAAAGTAAAATTACACTTAACAGGTCAAATGCTAAGCTCAGATGCTGCCTGCTAATATTTCAGTTGTCTAATAATGCCCTGCAAGCGAACCAAGTTTCCTGTGTTTTGTGCCTTCCCCTCTGTGAGAGCAGCTGCATTTGGATTCCACGCAGGCAGTGTTGGAGGCATACCACTATATTAAAGAGTTTGCTGATGTTATTTTCTGTTTTGTTGGTTTCCTTTTATTTGGAAGGAGTTAATCTCCAATGTGCATTTGTATTGCAAATATGGGAACAAATATATGTATTTCAATATCTCAAGGAAGAAAAAAATCTACAAAATGTGTCTGATAATCAACCTGATGATCAAAATGCCAATATAAATCAGAGTGGCATTAGTTTGAGTAGAGTTTAAAAAAATCTTCTTTGTTTTATAAGGTAGATTTTGCCTCATAAAAGGCAGACCTATCTTTTGGCTTACACTTACGCTGCATGCATCGGAGCTGTGTGTATTATTTCTCTCAGTTCCTGGGCCAAACCTGTGCTGTCTCGTGAGCTTGGTGAGGGGAGCTGTGCTAGCACAGGGTTTCATTCGTTGGCTGGAGCTTATAGCTGTGTTATCTCAAAAGCAAAACTTCAGGTCAAGCTGAGCTGGCCAGACCACTTCTGTGATAATCCTGTGCATCTGCATTGCCAGCACTACTGGCCTGAGAGCCAGTGCCTTGCTGGCTGTTACTGTTTTGCTAATTGAGGAGGGGTCAGGCTGTAACACCCAAACCTGCATTTGACCATTACACTGCATCTGAATTTCTCTTGTAGCAGGGCTTAAGTGTCTTCAGTGCTTTCAGCTGCTCCTGTTCCTCAGCAGCTCTGGCTGACTTTCCACAAGATGGCACTTTGAGTATCGCAGTGAAACTTTTATCAACATGGCCTTAGAGGAAAGCATTCAATTTTATCAAGATCCCACTTAACTTCTGATGTTTATAATATTGTCTTTGATGTCTAGTGTTTTGAGTGAAAACTGTAGCATCAACAGATAACTCTTTTGCTAAGCAGACCCCTGCTCTTCAATGCAATCACATCAGTAATATTTTCCAAACTCATGCTTCACCTTAATGCTTGCTATATTTGTTTTCCTTTCCACCTAGATATGGTTAACATCTAGATGCAGTTAACATCCTTTTTCCACTTGTGAAGCTGTATGAGATCACAGCCTGCAGTGGTATGGCTGCAGGCCACTTAATACAGACATCTGGCCAGATTATTGTAGTGTCTCAGCTGGAGTTCTTGGGGATCATGCTCACTTTAGAGGCATGATAATGAAATAGCCACAGGAAATGAGGCAGTGTCTTTATGAAGAGTAACAAATCTTTCTGTTTCAATACAAGTGTAACTCTATACAACTTAAAAACCCCTGAAGAAACCATGAGAATGAATTACAGGATATATTTGGTTTCCATTCTGGTGTTCATATAGCAAAAGCTATTTTTTCAGATTAGTCAGCCAGAGTTATAAAGTGTATTTATGTATTTGGAAAAGATGGCCTGTAATTATTTGGTAAAAATCGGATGTTAATCATTACCGGTCTATGGATATATCCATTTAATTTTTGTACTATGTTTTGAAGCTGTAAAATGGATTGCACTCTAATTGTTCTAATGACTGTACAAATATGAATTGAAAAGTATTCCATGCTCATGCAATATAACTACAATCAGAGGACAGGAAGCTCAAGTGACGTATCACATTTTCCTTTAGTCTGGAGATAACTCAAAGCTTAGTTCATTTTCCATCTATTAGGTCATTCTCTTGTTTACCAGCAGTGTAAACTCTGGGTTCTAGATAGATGGGATCCTCTGTTATTCTTATGCATCTCTTCTAGCTTCTAGGAGAAAAATGTCAGGAAAACCTTATTTGCTAGAGTAAGTGTCAAGACATAGACCTTCTAAATCTTTCTGCCCTTGCTTTTAAAATCTGGCTCCTTGGGAATTGTGCTAGGAAGCATTGCTTTTTGAGTAGCTGAATATGAGTTTAAATTAGCACTTAATGTCTGGGTGTACCTGAAACTGCCCGGAGACATGGCACAGACAGAAGTAAAGCTCCTCTTACTGTAAACTGACTACAGTGCCACCATAGCTAAATATGATATTTTCAGAGTGCTGAGTAGTATCTATAGGCTATTCAGGGAGCCAGAACAAGCCGTGTAATTGAGTTTATCTGGTAAGAATGAAAGTATTTTTACCCTCTTCTGGGACTAATAACTTACTGTTGATATTGCTGGGGATGCAAAAGTTGGGAAGAAATCATGTTGCTGCACAGACCATTGCTGGTGCTTTCTGAGCTAATAGTTCACTATTGTAGGAAGCTGGATGCTTAGGCAAAGTGACAAGATTCTGGTTTCTGAGGGAGTGAGCCTTGATCTTTCACTAGGATCTCATAGGTTCTTGCTCAGCTTGAGTATTTTCTTTTAGCTCAACTATCCTCTTATTTGTGTCTTTGTTATTGAGTACTGTACGAAGTGAAAAGAATGTGACCCTGAGCCTGTGCCTGCTGTTTTCTTGACAGACTTTGATTCTTCTTGCAACTGAGCTTCATATCTGAGTCTTGAACAGGTTCTTCTGCCAAGGCAGTAGCAGGCAATAGCTTGTACCTGTTCACCCATGGCAAAGAAACATCCGTCTACCTATTCCCTGTTTGATCAGTGTGTATATGAAATGCAAGTAAAAATCTGATTTTTCACATACAATTAATTTTCCCGAGACTATTTTTTTTTGAGATACTAGAACAATCTTTATGGGGCTATTGAAATAAAGATGAGAGTGATGTGAACTTGCTGACACCCTGAGAGAATGAGTCAGGAAGGAGGAAGTCAGAAGGCAGGTGCTGGCTGGGGTGAGGTCAGCAAGTTGTCTGCATGAGTGGAAGTGATTTAAAACCCCAGAGCCAAAACTTAAAAATGTACCTGTTGGTCTTGACCTGGCACTTCAGGAGTGTCTGTCCATCTTCAGGGGCTAAAAGTTCTTAGGTGCTAGATTGTAGAAACCAAAGCCCATCTGTGCTGCTGCCAGTGCAGTTAGGGGGTTGAAAGAAGAGCTGAAGGTTCTTTGAGAGCAGGGAAGATGCTTCTGAACTCTTGGATTCACATAAATGGAAGCAGCAGGCAGTGACCTGCAACACAGACTTGTATTCTGATCGTGTCTAAATTACTTGCATAGGTTATTGCAGAGCCAGGGGAAGGACTTACTGGTGTGACAAAGTGGCTGCAACTATAAATCCAACTGCAAACAGATGAATGTCTCGAATCTTTGTTTTTATTTATTTTTGGGTGTTTTGTATAAGCATTTAATGCTTATGAATTGATTGCACAAGGCAGGGCTGGATTAAATGTCTTTTGTAGTGGTTGCCTGAGAGACGGGCTGAGCGCAGTCCTGGGGACAGGGAGGCTGGCAGCCTGGGGAGCCAGCAGCTCTCCTGCCTTTGGACTGGCTGGTGTTAGGATTTTTCCTCCACACAGACTTCAAGACACATTTGTCTGGGCTTTCCTACAGGAGTAGGATGGAAGGAGATTGGTCTAGCTCAAAGCTCTATAAGACTTGAATAATCTTAACTTTTTCCACACTGCAGAGGGAAGCACATAATTTTTCTAAGTAGATGTAGAGGCCTATCAGAAAGAGCAATCTGATCTTTGATTGCTTTTCTTTGTCAGTCCTCTGCTTAAGGCTTTGAGATTGCTACCTTTGTGTTCTATGAAAAACATTGTACCTCTTACTGTATTACAAAAACATCATTATACATCAATTATGTAGAAAGACTGTTCCCAATGCCTTTGAAATTTAATGACAGGCTTTCCTTTGCTTCAACAGGCCTTTTCTATTTAATGTGGTGTAATTTGGATCAAATGCCTTTCAAAAACAAACACAGAGGATGCTCCAAAAGTGAGTTTTCTGGAATGCTGACAGGCCCCTTTTC